GGTGTTCCCTCATGCATGTTAACATGCGTGCAAATGCCTGCACGCACCGTGTGCTTCTTGCTTGGTCCCCAGCTAACACACAGAGCTCTTTTCATGGAAGGTAGGTTACAAATCCCCGGTAAATCGGCTGGCAATTAACTTACAGATTGCCTGAATCGCATTATCCTTACTTACTCAGCTTTAATTTCTTGCACGGGTTCCTGAGAAAGAGTTATGTATGGTCCTGGCCCCTTAGCATCACCACAGCCATTCTCTGGTCAGTCCACATTCCTGAAAATGGCTAAAGAAGGGGGGAGAAAAGGTGTACTTACAACTTCTGCGAGTTTATATATATCCAAAGTTCAAAATGCGCATACAGTACTGTTTCAGCTTTCAGGCTGCAAGACTTGACTTTGTACCCACTAAAAATAGGATAAATAATAGCACACTTAATTGTGGTTTCTCTGGCTTGTTCAAGTATCCAGAAAAAAAGAAAAAGACTGTTTTTAAAAAGGGTTTGGGGCAGCTTCCTTTAGTGAATTATGCTGAAAGCTGCTTTTGTCTCTAAAACTCTTCCTCCTTAAGTAACTTCAATGCTTATTCTCTATAGAGGTAAAATCTGTTGAGTAACTGCTGGGATTTTCAAAAATGCATGTCTGAATTTAGCTATTCATAATTTTACTGCCCCTCCTATACTATTGTTCTTTAGTATTCTGGGTATTTCTATTTGAACTGCAAATCCTTCTGCTGCCAAAAGATTTGCAGGAAGACTGACAGGAATAAATGTTCCTTAGCATTTTATATAGCCAATGTATCTTAAAGCACACAAATACATTTACTGAATCTGTTTGAAAGACTTAGGTATGGTATTGTTGTGGTTCAAGTATGTTTGAATCAACTAAACTTTGTAGCACATTTTGTTGTTGTTTGATGGTTTTGTTTAGTTCCCTTGTGTTTGTAGGAAAAATGAGAGTTTGTACTTTACAAGTCTCAGACAAATACTCGGGAAAGTGACTGCACTGAGACCTTTATCTATGTGCATTGAAACAGTGGGCAAAGAGATTTCTCAGTTGTTTTAAAGAAAATAGTTTCATTTTGACATTAATGAAAGGTTAAATCTCTAGATCCAGTACTTTGCTGACAAAATTTTCTGAGACTAAATATCTCTGAAGAAAATTATTTTTTATTAGACCTGAACTGAAATTATGCTGAAATCAGTGGTAATAAAAAACATTTCAGAACTATTTGGCAAAACAAACAAAACTTTTTAAAAAAAGAGAGTTTGTAAATTTTTATTCTGCTGATGCAAAGTGTACTATACCTGGGGCTAGTATGATGAGAACATGAAACACTTTATTGAGATTAACAAATATTTCTGAATACAGCAGGCAGTACATGTTGTCATAGAAATTCCTGCTTATTTCCAATCTAAAATAAATATTTGTAAGCCATTGACAATGAAATCTGAGAAACTTCATTTAAAATTTGCATAGAAATTGATTTGATTAACATTCATCTTGGTTGTTTTTTTGTCCTGCACAAGCTCTGACTTAAAATGTTTCCTGGCTGTATGTCACATTAAACTTAATGAATTCTTTTTAAACAGATAAAATCTGCAATATTTTAAAAATTATATTACTGAGGAGCAGTTGAAACAGCTGACACATTAGCTGTGAAGGAGCAGGACCCTCTGTTCCTCTGGTGAAGTTTATTGCTAGATCAGAAATGGGAAGGTTGATGTGTAAAATACCAAACTGATTATCTCACTACAACTTTTTACACCACAGCGAAAAAGAGGTATCCAAAAAAAGCAAAGCAAATTAAATGCCTAATTTTAGCATGTGTGCATCATTTCTACTGCTAGCACTTCATCTTCTCCCAGCATACTGTTAGCTGAGATCCAAATGGCCACTCTCGGAGGCTTCCACGGATCACCCAGGCAAAGCCACGGCTGACCTGATCCTGTGTTGGTGCCAGCCCTGCTCAGAATGAGAAGCTGTGTTTTGGGACTTCCCCAGGCCTATTCCCACCAGCATGTCCAGAGCCCAGTCATTCTGCCAGCTCAAGGAGCTGCTGTGGTACAGACCTTGCATGCACCTTTGAGAAGAGAGCAGCCAACACAGATTCCACACAGCAGAAATAACCACTCCAGTTTTAAGTGAATAAGCATTCTGCAATTTCTTTCTGCAATAAATTCTAGTAGCTCTGGAAGTAGGAAATGTTATTTTCACTATTAAGGCAACATTTAAAACCAGTATTTTTTTTACATTGATAAATGGCATGTCCCCACCAATACACTTTTTTTTTTCTGGAGGGAGGAACAGAAAACAGGTACGAGGCATTCCACCTGCTGCACCCCACCCTGTCCCTGCAATTGGCACAAGCACCCTGCAGCCAGGAAGAGCTGTGACAACTTAAACCAGAGGTGCAGTGAGACCTGAATCCAGCCTCTGATCACAGCTACTAATAGTTAAGGTTTTCCCAAGGGACAATAGCAAAGAACATTGTTTTTGCTTGGCCATTTGGGTCATCGAGCCTTCCTGAACTTGGAAGTTTCCTGCTGACAGCTATATTAAATAGCCATTGAGAGACTGTTTGCTATGGATATATGTAATTCTTCCCATACCTGATTTAATTATATAGCTTCTACACACATTTTTGCAAGGATGTGTACAATCTCATCATAACTTGATTGATAGATTAAATTTGAGTATGACATACTGTCCGTTCTTAAGAACAACACTGTAAAAACAGTGTGATCCTTTACTTCTGAAAACAGTTTCTGATTCTCTGCTTACTGTCTACCTGTCTAGTTCAGTCTGGAAGAATGAATTTCTTTAATTCCCAAAAGAAAGTTTTTTTTTTCCTGAGGAGCATTTCAGAAATTTCAGTGCAAGTATTGAGCTAGGTTTTTATGCTGGTCTTTGGAAAAAAAAAAAGACCAAAAACCAAACAAAATCAAATTAAACAAAGAAAAATGTAGCCATTCTGTTGATTATGTCTGAGGTCAAACTCTACCTCATTTTTTTTCTCATTTACTCATAGTGTTGCATGAGTAATACTGAAATTAAGCTGAGAAAACAATAAGATCAAACAATATACTGATCCAAATACCTTATATATGTAGTGACATATCAAGGCCAGAGTCACACTGTTCTCCTGACTTCTGCACTCTGTGCTGCCTGGTTATCTAACAGCTAAAGGGATTTTCTAATGCCTACCCATGGTGTTGCCCCTATGGCTAAGCATTTGGTGCCTAGCTCAGCAAACATCCACTTAGCACTTGGTGAGACTTTAAGTGGAAAGTTCCCACTGCAGTTCTGAACACACATCTCTAATTTATCAAAGCATCCTTTCAAAGGGCACTGATTGATGTCCAGATAGCTTAACCCAGAAACTGCAGGAAAAATATCCTTATTAAATTACCTGTCCTTCTCCAGGTAGGTAAATCACAAGTGAGAGTGTATGCAGTTTATCAGTAACAGGCCTCTATATTTTAAATGTTGCACATTTGATTGATGTTCAACTTATTCAAAATACATTTTAGCTAAAATTAAAGCTAGACCCATTGTAATTACATTTCAAACACTGTTTCTTTGCACTCAGTTACCATTACTGATTACTAAAACATTAAGACCTTATATTTTTGTCAGCACAGAAGGCTACAGCTTTCTCAGAGGAGGAAATCTTGGGCTAGATTTGGGATAGCATCACTGGGAGACAGATGAACCAGCCTTTATGTGCAGACAGGCTGGTTGCTGAATTTAATGCTTCCAGAGGTTTCACTGCGCTGATAGCCACAAAGGAGAGCTCAGCTGTGTGTAAAGCACCCTTAGCAAACCGACAAGATAAGGGCTTAGATTTGGGTTTTTATGTGACCATATGAGCCTGTTAGATTAAAAGGGGTTGTTTTTTTGTTTTGTTTTTTTTTTCCCAAGGTTCCTTTTTACTAATGGCTCTCAAATTCATTCAGCATGTCTGAAACTGTGTCATAATTTGACTCCTTTCTTGCTGTAAGCAGTGTAACTGTGCTGAGGGAGGGGACTGGTCACCCCAGAGCTTCCAGCTGATCATCTACCCTCTTGATTTCCATGAACTATTGCATTGTTAACTTTTCCCATAGTGACAATTAAAATAATTATACTCTGATGAGTCAACATGTTATATAGAGAGGCCAGACCCTACCTTTCACCCAGATGACCCTTAAGGAAGCACAAAGAAGACAGGTCTGCATGCATGGGGACAGCCAGGGATACTCCACTGTGCAGGTGGATGGCTCACAGGCAGAGCCTGGGTGATGAGGGAGGTGATATAACTTTAATTATTGCACAAATACCTTCTAATTTTCACATGGAAATCAAAGCCAAGGAAGAGAATTACTTGGCAGCAGCAGTGTCAGTTTCCACGTTGCTATATCCTTGGCAAAATTATTTAGATTAATAGAATATTTGCTGCCTGTGGCCAGGTGCTGCTGCTGAGGGGTAGCTGGAGGTGGAGGATTCTGTGGGAAAGATCCTGGGGTTGTGCTGTGGTGGACACAGCCACTTCCAGCTGCTGAGGCAAAGTTGAGTATGTCAGTGATGCTGGTAGAGCCTCTCTGGAAACATGTGTAAGAAAGGGCAAAAGATGTTGTTCAGCAGCTGTGAGAGAGGAGTGAGAAAATGTGGAAGAAACAGATCCCAGAGAAGGAAGTCCAGGTGTCAGAGTAGATAGTCACCTCAGAGAGTGGCTGGATGGGCAGCTGTGGCCCCCCAGGCCAGCCCACCCCAGCAGAACATCAGGCTGGAGGGAAACTCTTTTATCTCCCTACCTCTGGCAGACCCAGCTCCTCATCAGCTTCATGTTATCTCCAGGTCTGAGCCCACAGGACCCAACCTTCCTATCCAAAAGAGGGACTCCTTGATGGGCCTCTTCCAGGCCCACCATGGGCCCTGTGCCAAGCACTGGACCCAAAAGACACACCTTTCCTCTTCATACCTAATCAAATCTTCCCTTTCCTGTGTTTCATTTCCAGAGGAACGATGGCAGAAGACCAGCCACACCTATGCATTCAGATGTCAGAATCTGGTACAAATGGCATTCCCAGTAGAAGGCAGTCCTTGCCAGATTTGGCTGGCAGGGCAGGAAGCGTGCTCACCTTCCACAACATCTGCTACCATGTGAACACAAAGACTGGGTTCCTGTGTTTCCAAAAAAACACCAAAAAAGAAGTTTTGAGAGATGTCAAGTATGTATTTAAACATCTCTTTAGAGTATGTGTAAATTTTATTTCTGTCCAGAGAGTTGACTTCACTCATGTCACTGAGTCATTCAGCACAATATGCAGATCAAGGTTTAGAGAAATTATTTGTATGTGTGGTTGCTTCATGTTTGCAGTCAGCTGTGCTTAAACCCAGGTCCTCAGTCCCTGGGCTGGGCCTGTGCATCAGAGAGTTCACTTCCCTTGGCCCTGGGAGTACAGCACTCCTGGCTGCTATCAGCACGGGGCACACCAGCCAGCTCTGCTTGCTCTACACTCCCTGGCAAACCTCCCACTGTGCCAGGGTGCTTAGCTGAGATACCAACAGCCTGTCCTCTGTGATTGTCTCCTTCCCTCAGGTAGCCTTGGGAAAGGTTAATTTTTTTGGGGATGTAACTTAAAATGTTTAACACATTAATATAAGTGCAGGTGAGGTTAACTTTGAAGAGATGTAAAGGTTTCTGGAGTTTTGGCTTTTTTTTTAGTTGAGTTGTTTGGTGTTTTTTTCCCCAACAGTGAGCATTACTTCTGTAAAGCAGTCATGTCATCATGGCCTTTGTTCAATAATCAGTGAATAAAACTTGCCCATTCACAGTTCAGTAGTTAAACTCAGTGGCAAGGGCTCATACAATATGCCATTCCAAGTCACCCATGACTTTCAGCTCCCTAACTCCAATTTCTATCATAAATATTCACCCTTTTGTGTAGCTCAATCTATCCTACTCTTTGCCCAGGGAATTTCCACACCTGCTAAACATGAGCTCTTAAATGCCTTGTTGCTTTCCTCAAAAGCCAAGTGTTGTGGTATCTCAGTTGACTCACATGGGTCATTTGTTGTGGAGGAAGGCCAGTCCTACAAAAGACTTCCTCCTTGGAGATCTGTCCTCTAAGATAAGATAAAACTTAGTCATGGTGACTGAGCTGTGGACCCCTTCCTGCTTCGGGACTCTGTGTTATCTCCCTGTAAACTATTGGTCCTTTTACCCTGGTTTTAAACCATTGGTCCTTCTCCCACTTCTCCCCTTCCCTATAAAAACCCCAGCTTCTGCCCAGTTCAGTGGAAGTTTGTCACTGGCCCCCTTTGCTGAAGCCTGCCAATAAAGGACTCTGTGGAATGCTACATGGCCTCCCTTCTCTCGTCTACGTGTCAGCTGGGGTAACCCATGAATGGAGTCGGGCTGATCTGATCATAGAGCTGAAATCACAGCTGAAAGAGCTGATCACTTCAAGTCTCAGAGCGTGCTCATAAGGGTTACCCCGGGTTGGAAACTGCCTGAGATCCCTGGACAGCCATTCCTCACGGGACCCCTATCCGGGATAGGCGGTTGTGGTGCCGGGGGTTGGACTGATCCCGTGAACCAGCCACCAACAATTTGTAACATTTTCCATCTGGCTTTTGAGTTTCATGGGGCTTTAATGTCAGATACAGAGAAATATCAACGGCATTTTAAGTAAAGATAAATCCCTAGTTTATTCTGTCTACAAGAGACTATTACTCTCTCAGTTGAGAGAATAATACCTTCAGAACTGAGTATGGTTAAAGCAACTGTGCGCGTCTCTTGTCTTTGATCCATGTGGTAAAAAACATGTACAGACTTTGCTACATTTTAGTTGTGTCTCTGTTCTGTCTTCATTATATGATGATTAGTTTTTCTTGAAATAGAAATAAAAGGTAGGGTGAAGTCTGATCATAAATATTGCTTGTGAATAGGCAGTTTCATTAATTCCAAAATTAATCAGATACAGAAAGTAGTTGTACGGATAAGTTACTCTGGCCTACCAGTTGAAACAGGCAAAGAAATAACTGCACCCGAACTATTTTGTAAAACTGATCTGTTTTGTCTTACAGTGGCATCATGAGACCAGGACTGAATGCAATTTTGGGACCCACTGGTAGTGGTAAATCTTCGTAAGTGCCCCCTTCTCCCTCCACAGAAATTAGACCAAGGGGAAAACGAAACTGTACACATTTAGCAGTAATGGACTTCTCTTTCAGAGAAAGACTGAGTTTTTATTTAGGTCTGTGAGAGTCTCACTGTTTTCTGAGAAATACTTAAATTCAAAAAGACAGTCAGATTATATGAGAAAAGTGAAATCCAGTTTCAGTCCACACTTTGCTGATAGTGGCTCCTTACACACCATTCTGGTAATGTGTAACCAATTTGAGGTTAAATTATTGGAAAAATGGACATGGACCTGCACAGATCTCATTTCCTTAGGAAACCAGGACAACTCAGTCCTTGCAAGTTGCTGGGGTTTTTCTAGATTGCAAACATTTAATGTGATCTGCTTTTATGTAGCGGTTCATTCCATGAGCTGGGTTGTGGTTCAGAGAGCTTTGCCTCCTGCATGTTCATCTGACAAAGTAACCAACTTTTCCTTTAGGCTACTGGACATTTTGGCTGCAAGGAAGGATCCCCATGGGCTCTCTGGTGACATTTTGATCAATGGAGCTCCTCAGCCTGCCAACTTTAAATGTACCTCTGGGTACGTAGTACAGGTAAGTCATTTTTGTCACTGTGGATTTTATTGTAAGAAGTTGCTGCTGTGTTGCAAATACCTTGCCTTGATTCAAGAATCTAGGAAAACTCCTTAAAATTACAGTCAGCATGTTACAGAAAGGTGGTCTCTCAAACCACCTTTAAATCTCAACTTCCCATGACTGACAGAGTCCCTTTGCAAGAGACAAGCAGATGGTATCTAAAAACCTCCCCTCCTTCCTCTGACAAAACAAGCTGGGAACACCTTCACCCTAACCCACATGGACCCAACCTCTCTCCACCTTCCCTTTCTTTCTGCTCTCACATGTGGTGGGCTGAGGCTGCACTGGCAAGCACATTGTGATAATGACCTGAATTGTAGCTTCTCCTTAGGTCCCTTCAGCCCTTCCATCTCCCCCTCAACACATCCAAAAAACTGAATAAGGTAAGGATACATAAGGGATGGTTTTTAATACTTTGCTGTTTATACATTTTGATATCATGCATGATGGAGGCTGTTCCTATATGGCATTGCCTTATGAATTCAGGCAAATATAATTATGTGCATGAAATCCACACTATGCTACGACACTTCAAGGCATTGAAGATGCACTTTACTGCATGGTCTGACTGCTGCCACTGTCACTCTGCATGCAAGGACAGCATAAAACATAGGTAGATACAGTTCTCAGAGGAATAAATAAAAACTGCTGAGCAACCACCAAGAATCTACTGGTTTTTTTTTAATGAAGGATGATGTGGTGATGGGAACCCTTACTGTAAGAGAGAATCTGAAGTTCTCAGCAGCACTCCGCTTGCCAAAGTCAGTGAAGGAAGAGGAAAAAAATGAGCGAGTCAATCAGATCATCAAGGAGCTGGGTTTGAACAAAGTGGCAGATTCCAAGGTAAAGCCTGTAAACATGGTATTTAAACCATACTAACCATAATAAGAGGTTTATTAATTAACCAAATGGCTCGTTATGGCAGATTAAAAAAAAAAAGTAAATTTCATTTTATTGTGTTTATTGTGTTACATTTATTGTATTGCTGTTTCAGTAATATAATAATTAGTGACATTTCTGTCTGACTGTGCTGATGCTGTCATATGGTATTACATTGCAGGGAAGAGGAAGAAGAAAGGGAAAGATGAAAGGGAAAGCTAGTGGTTGGAGAAAAAGACAATACCTCAAGTAATGTTAACATTAAGAAGGCTGTGTGTGAGATAACATTTACATCTGTTTCTGACAGTAGAGTCAGAATTCCTTACAACTCTTCCCAAATACTGTCATGTGGGTAGGATGCCGTTTACTCAAGAATTTATCTTTGGGCCAAACAAGACAAGTTTCTTGTTTTTTATCAGGTTGGTACCCAGTTCTCTCGTGGGGTATCTGGAGGAGAGCGGAAAAGGACCAATATTGGGATGGAGCTCATCACAGATCCTGCCATCTTGTTTTTGGATGAGCCAACCACAGGACTTGATGCCAGCACTGCTAATGCTGTCCTACTGCTACTGAAAAGGTGATGGCCTTGGAAACAGCTTCCCATTCTCAGCATTCCACTCTGCTATGTTTCAGATGAATTTGACTTGAATTACAGTTCAAATGAGCAAACAGGGAATTCAGATATGTAATTATTTACCAGTGAGCCAAGGATTCGCATAGGATAGGAAAAAAACTGTATGAATTCTCTCTCTCCAAAGTGAGAGTTCTTTTCTCACACAGACACTGTAAATATTACCTAAATATTTTCTTCTTCTTTATTTTTATCTTTCTTCTCCCTTCTCTGGCATACCAAGTGGATCAGACTTCAAGACAACTGAACTTTCAAATGCTCTTATCTAAACACTTTATCAGCTTGCAAAGCTGACATCTCCGTCATTCTTCACATTCAGGATGTCAAAACAAGGAAAGACAATCATCTTCTCCATCCACCAGCCTCGGTACTCCATATTCCGACTGTTTGACAGCCTGACACTTCTGGCTGCAGGGAGAATGCTGTACCATGGGCCGGCCCAGCATGCCATCGAGTACTTTCAGTCCATTGGTGAGCACAACTTCCAGCAGGGCCAGCCTTTGGTTTGCACTAACTCGAGTGAAATGCCAATAGCTCTGGGCCAGAACTGGACACAGTGTGTCCAAGGAGGCCCAGCATTGCAGCAGGCTGAGCCTTTCTCTGGGTATTTCTCTCCTTGACCCACATGTGGATTTGGGAGAGCTGTCCCTGGGTGCATCTTAATTAGAGAAAGCCGGGCTAGGGCTGGGAAGGGCACGCTGCCAGCTGTCACCTCACTTTTGCTGACAGCGCTGCCCAGCAGTGCCACTCATCCCCTGGGAAAGCATGGACTTTCCAAAGGCTGCCATGCCTTTGGTACAGGCTGCTTCATGGGCAGGATGTGTGGCTGTGCTCCTGACAGCCAGTCACATGACCCCACCCAGGGTTCATAATGCTGTCACCACAGTGTCACTGTCACAACAGGCTACCAGTGCGAGCCCTACAACAACCCTGCCGACTTTTTCCTGGACATCATCAATGGAGACTGCACTGCCGTAGCAATGAACAAGGCTGATGAAAGCAACACAGGTATGAAACTCAGAGCTGAGTCAAGTTACCCTGCATGTGTGGGAATGGGAATTTAAGAAACTGTTTTGGTAACTCTCAGCACACAGAAAGAGCTTCTTTCATCTTCAAGGCAAAGCATCTGAAATCTTGCAGAAGCAGAGATGATAAACCAGGACAATTGCTCTTGTTAAGGACATAATTTGATGCAGTTGTGACTTGACTATTTTACCTAATGGAACAGTTTTTTCTGCTAGGAAATTACTGTTTTCTTCCCTCTGAGCAGGGTGGGAATGGGTAGAGATAGGGTATCACTGCTCACCTGATGTTTCCCTGAAGTTGTGCTAAGACAGAAGTTTTCCCCAAACTAATGAATCAGCTCTCGCCTATTTGTTGGAGCATGCTTTCTCATACTTTTCTGCTGCCACTCATTAATAGCTCACTCTCTCTTCATAGGAGTGAAAAGGCAAATGAAGTAATGAATATGCTGAGTGCCCAAACACAGTTTCACTACACCTTTACCAAAGGAGCAGCCATCATTTTACAAAAATGCTCTGATCAGGGTCTGGCAAATATTATAGCTGGCAACACACATCATATCTGTCACTGGAAAAGATCACACTGTACTATAGTTGAGAAAAAAAGGAGGTTCAGATGAAATTTTTTTATGACCAAAGTAGACACGTGCAGGATTACCTGGATCTAAAATTCTGGGAAGTCCAGGATTATGTCATCAGACACTTAAAGAAAAAAGGGAATGCAAAAATCACATTTTAATTAAAAGCCATGTTGCTGCTAGGTTGCAACTCCCTGGGCAGACTAGGTTTTGCCTGGTCAGCGAGCTGAGAGGCTGCTGCCTGTGGGACAGGTTGCATAGACAATCACAGAGGTTTGGTCTTATTTATACCAACTCTTTTGAACAATCTGCTATGGGACTGAGTGCAGTAAACCCCCGGAACTATGCGTGCATCTTAGTTCTTCTGGTTTTTTAATCTTTCCAGCAGAGAGCACTGAAGAACCCTCTGAATATGATAAAACCTTGGCTGAGCAATTAGCAGAAAAATACTCCAACTCTACCTACTACCTAGAAACAAAAGCACATTTAGAGAGCATTTCTTCAGGAAGTAAAAAGAAAGCCAAAGGAGTTTTCCGGCAAATCACATATGCCAATTCCTTCCTCCACCAGCTGAAATGGGTGTCAAGGCGCACATTTAAAAACCTGATAGGAAACCCTCAGGCTTCCATAGCTCAGGTAAGGCTATTGGTATCTATAATTTTGTGGTATATGTTGAATTTATTTGGCTCCTGGATTATTGGCTAAGTCACTGGGATGGTTTTGCCTCTTGATATATTGACTGCAGTAAGCATCTGATGAAAAAGTGCTTGAGGTCTAGGAGTCTGGGGATAGGAGGTGTCCTGAATGCTCCCAAATGTGGGACTGTTCAGTAATTAATTTCGGACTAATGAAGGACTTTGGGAGGCAAGACATGTCCCAACAGGGCATTCAGCTGCTCCCAGCCAGGAGCACATTATGTCCCAAATAGTTTCACAGATTTGCTCAAGAACATTCTTCAGATTTGACTCATTGTCCAGGCTTGGCACTGCGGGATTTGGCCTCAAATCCCCTCCCCCACCAGGAAAAGTTAACAAACTGCATTTGCATACTTAATTAAACAGCACAAAATGAAGTGCTGGCAGTTGGCTCAAGTTGCAGTCTCATAATGTGTGTGCTGTTTGGTCATTTGACTGTTCATATTGGTGATAATATCTTGTGGATAAGATGTCATGAAGTCCACAATGGGGTCTGACACCCACCATGAAAGATCATCACTGGCTCTGTTTGTGTTGCTTTTTCTGAAGGACCAACACCAAAAGTGTTGACTCCTTCAGAGCTGCACATTGCTTTCAAAAAGAATGCTGCCCTCTGCAGAGTGACTAATCCTCGGGAATCTCCTAATTCATGGCCCAAACTCTGCAGCCACAGAACCACTAAAACTCCCACTGCAACTCTCAGCAGTTCTGGAGAGACCAATAGAGAAATTGGCCTGTAGCCAGGGGTATAAACTATCTTCATCATGTTTTATATAGTGAATGAATAAATGGTTGGTGGGGAGGTAAAACAAGTCCAGAATCCCTGAGGTTCAAAAGGCTTTGAGTACGTGTGTGTGCCTGTATGTTGATACTATGGAGATCCTTAATAATTGCTTTGTAAAAGCCTGACCTTGTGACAAGAATTAGGCTCTCAAGAACCTCCTTCATAGCCCAAGGTTAATGGTCCTGACTTGTTTCTCACAATCTTTTTCATCTCCCACCCTCATTAGGGGTGGATTTGTCCAGCATTCTTTTAGGGGTACATGGCTCATTAAGCCTTTTCTTCATTAATCTGTTCCAAAATGGTCTTGAAATGATCCCTGCCTTCCACCACAACTGGTTTAGGAGCTGAATTATCCCTGACATTTGCTCCTTTCAGCAGATCTTAGTAAGAGTGTACCAGGATCAAGTAGTTTAAGGGTGTTAAGACTCATGCATTGCTTGGGCTTAAAAATGACAGAACTGCCTGATACCATCAGGTTTCCTGCGTTTTTTGTCATTTTGAGCATTTAGCGTTTAAAAAGTGTAATGCACACACTTCAGTCTTTTAAGTGACAGCCTTGAGGAAGATGTTATCTCTGCTATTTAAATAGTTACTGACTGCAAATATCAGTGTATCTATAGCCCTGTTGTAGCATCTTATTAAAAACAACCCCATGAGTAAGATGTATGATAGAACCCAGTAATTACACACCGTGGAGCATGAAAATAAACAGTCATCCTCATCCTGGCAGTCAGGAAAACCTTTGAAGCAATGAGAATGATACTTCCCTCTTCTCTTTTTCCTGTTTAGCTTTTTATTACAGCATTCCTGGGGCTGATTGTAGGTGCCATTTTCTTTGGACTTGAGGAGAACTCTGCTGGACTACAGAACAGGTCAGTCAGTCTAGGCAATGGATATTCAAAAATTTTATAAAAAGGAGCTTAAAACCTCTTTAAAGGAAATGCTTCCCTTCACAGCAGTAAGGCCAAGCCCGTGTGACTTGGAAGTGAGCATGTGATTTTGTTCCTCTAGCAAGGTCCCTGCAGAACTGAGAGGGTTAAAATACACAGACTTGTGGCTGTATAAACGTAGGTAACTAAAGTTGTAATCTTGCAACAGGTTCTATTCACACAATTCAATTTACCAGCAGTAAGAGATTTTCAAATTATGCTGCTCTATGTATCATTTTGACATCTGTATGTACCTGACCTGACACATGAGTTTGCCACTATGAAACCTCTGGGTTCTTAATCATGAAACACTTCTGTTTGTTTAAAAACCACCCAGTTTTAAATTGAGTGGGAAGTGCCTTAAATTTTTGTGGAAAATGTGAAAACTACTTCTCACACTGTTGAATTGGTTCCTCACAGTTTGCAGCAGACAAATGCCTTCACAGTCTGAGAATATTTAACATGTCAGGAAATGACATTGAGAAAAAAACCAAACCACAGCCCCTCAAAAAAAAATTCAGTTGATTTTATATTTTTTACCTGCATCAGAGAATGTACTATCATCATTACATGCCAAAACCAAATAATGACTGTACCACCTCTATGTCAGGCTTGTTACAGACTCAGACTTGTAGCCAAGACTTTTACCATGGATTTTGGGAAATGCAAAACTTCATGCACTGCAGGTGGATTTGTGTACTCTGTAGTGGAAACTACATTTTCATTCCATTTTAAATAGCAGCTCACTGTTTTGCTATTTTGCAGAGTGGGTGCAATGTTCTTTCTGACCACCAACCAGTGTTTCAGCAGCGTCTCAGCTGTTGAACTGTTTGTTGTGGAAAAGAAGATATTTATGTAAGTAAAACATACAGAAAGATTACCAGGCTCTGCTGTTAGACTGTGAGTTTGTCTGACATGCTGTAAATATCATTTATGTACAATGGTGCAAAATTTTGAAATTATTTCACTGATAGTGCTCATTGCAAATATACTCTGTTAGTCTACTAGTGAGTTGTCAGCAAACCCCCCAAAAGGTACTTATGATTACAAACAACTCAGAGTTTAAGATTGACACAGTAGGAAAAAAACGAATACTCAGTTTTGGCATTGATAAATAAGTTTGTGACTTGCTAGTGAGAGTAAAAAATATCACTAAAAGCGATGCATATTATTCTGTATAAAATACGAAAATTATTCAGACTTTACCCTCTCTGTCTCGATGACATTGTTATAAATGCAATGGCAAAATAGGGTTAATACAAAAAGCGATTTATTATAAAACAATTTTAATCACAAACAACGAGAGAAAAAAACCACAATAAATCAGCGCAGTGCTGGGTGGACAGGGAGACGTCTATACCCAGAGGTACAGATTTTCCCAAATCCACGAAGGAGGGTAGACTGTCCGGGGTTTTTATAGGGATTTTGTGTCCTGGGGCCAAAACTCCGAGCAGTTACTGTTCAACAAAGAGTTTAGATGGCTGGTTGAATGAATTTCCTGGAACCGTGGAACTGAATCAATAGACGACTGGGCAGAGTCCGCTCGCATGTGAAAGGTTCTGAGTGCTTCCCGATTGTATCTTCGGTTGGACTCTCAGGGTGAAGTGTCCAAGTCCAGTGCGGAGTCGATGGGTATCTCGGCTGGGCTCCACTTATTGTCTGGCCTGATTGCATCTTCAGTCGGGGTTTGCAGGAAGGGGTGCCCGGTGTGGTGTGGAGCCGATGGGCATCTCGGCCTGGCTCCTTTCTTTGTTTGGCTTAATTGTTCGTGTCCTGCTCTTTCTTTCAGGCTGATGAACGTCGCCTAGGGTCGTTACCGCCTGAATGGGTAGTTACTGCTGGGTTTGGGGAAATTCTTCGGCCACACTATATTTTATATACTTTTTACATTGTTACAAATCCAGTTATATACTTATTTATTCTTTCACGAATTTTTATCCAAGGTTACATTTATCACAACATGACACATAAATTTATTAAAAATTATGTGTACAAATACCCACGTTCATTTGCATATGAAAATGTCACCACTTCTATAGTGTGTAGGCTTACTGGAAAGTTGCATTACAGACTAAGTATGAAAGAGTTTCTTCCAGTTTGAGCCAGAATTCATTTGTCAAGAGGTGAAAATTGAACTGTGTTTTAGTGGCACATCTGTGATGTGCTGTACCTATCTCTGTGTTCCAGACATGAATATATCAGTGGGTACTACAGAACATCTGCGTACTTCATTGCAAAGCTGATGGCTGATTTAATACCCATAAGGACTGTGCCCAGCATCATCTTCACCTGCATAGTTTACTTCATGCTAGGCAAGTGTGGTCTCCTACCGTCTCATTCCAAGCCTCTAATAAATCATCATGGCTCATGCACCTTATATATGTGTATGCATACATGGATATTTATATAGGCTAAAGCCCTACACTGGTGTGGCAGTGGCCACTGAGCTTACTTTTAGGACACCATGTGGTTTTCTACAGAAAAGACACAAAGATTTGAGCGTTCATCAGAGAATCTGTGACACATCTCATCTCTACTGCCCCTAGAAGGAAGCCACAAATCATTACTACATAGTTTTGATTTCTTCCTTTTCATCTATGGCCTTCTTGGCTTCTGATGACTTTAACAAGATACTTTTCTGATCCTTGCAAGAACACCTAAAAGAAAAGGTTTTGTTTTAAGATATTAATACTGTATGAATTAATACCAGCTTACTGGCTTTGGCCTGAGTTTTTTCCCTAAGGAGCAGGAAACAAGGCCACATCAGGCTCTCAAACTGTGGAAATGGAGTGAGACAGACGTTGCCACTGAATCCATAGCCATCTCAAGGCTGCTAGTTTCTTTAGGGGAGCTCTCTGCTGGAAACTAGTGAAATGCTGTATAGCTGCTGCTCATGGAAATGCACTGGAAGTTTCTCCTCTGATGGACAACTTGCAGGCACTTCGGATGTGTGAAGTACTATACTTCTACACATTCTACTATTTCAGTCTTACTGCAGTGTTGGGTATCCTACTTATTCATCCTGTCTTCCACTGTTAGAACAGACACATAAGGGCTGTCACAAGCATCACAGCAGTCTTGGGTCTCAGTGACACAGCCTGTGCTGGCAGACAAGGTGTAATTTGTAAGCAGGACACACTAGGAAAGTCAGGATAGTGTTCAGGTTATAGCAGAGCTTTCAGCAGGATTATTCTGAATCCCCTCTTGTTCTGATCTTTAAGGTTTGAAACCAACAGTAGAAGCCTTCTTCACAATGATGTTCACCCTCATGATGGTGTCCTACACAGCCACTTCCATGGCACTTGCCGTTGCAGCAGGACAGAGCGTGGTCGCTATAGCAAACCTACTCATGACTGTTGCCTTTGTTTTTATGATTGTGAGTAGCACTGTTCAGTTCTCTAGACTGGATCATGAAATCCAAGAAATGCTGAAATCCAGAAACCCTACTAGCATGGAGTTCAGCTGAATTCTGCAGAAAGTCTGTTGCAGCCAACATATCCTGATTTGTCTGATTTGAGTATCTAGATGCTGTGGGGTGGAATATTCTGATTTATCTTTTGAATGAACAAGAAGTGGGGGACTGGAGGGTTGGATGCAAGGAGGAGAGTGCTTCCTCTGACTTTCTCTCTGTGGCTCTGGCAGACAGAAAACTGCCTGGAAAGTAGGAAAGCCACTTAGGGCTACATTTCATTCTCTCTCCCCTAACTTTGTGAAAGGCAAATGCATCTGGCTGAGAACATGACCTGCAGCCTCCTGCTTTCTGAGACCACTAGCTCAGCTGTCCTCTTCAGTTGCAGAGCCCACCTTGGGCATCTTAAATTGGACAACACACAGCTACAGTCAGGAGACAGGCACCTTAGATGAGGCAGAGCTGAACCTACAGCCAAAATCCACATTACCTCAGACACAGGGCACACAGGCAACACCCAGAGCAGTCCCACACTGAGGAGCAGCAGAGAGATCATACAAACCCATGTGGGACCCCAGACAGGAATCATGTGTGTGTACTGCACAGGGGAAAGCATTCCTTGTTACTTGTTTCAGGGGAAGGACCTGAGGTTATGGCCCAAAGCTTGGTAACATATAAATCCTTCCTTTTTGTTGTTCCGCTGGAAGAGTTTCTTCCTCAAGGAATGTTTTCCCATTCCTTTCTATCTGAAGAAGCAAAGTCAAGAGCTAGAGAAGAACACATGATAAAAGCATGTAATTTGTAGCTTATTTTTGTTGTGGCTTTTTTTTTTTTTTTTTTTTTTTTTTTTTTTTTTTTTGCTAATTATTGCCTCTAGATTTTCTCTGGGTTGCTGGTCAATCTCACAAGCATCATGTCCTGGCTCTCCTGGCTCAAATACTTTAGCATCCCTCGCTATGGAATGACAGTAAGTGCTCTGATTTCCTGTGTACAAACCTGGAAATGGTTTGCTGGAAAGGAATGTGTTTAATCATGATAAAGAAATCTTCAAACTTGATGGCCTAATGTGCAAAAGGAAAGCTAATTAAGTACAACAGCCTCAGACTGTTGTAGAGTATCTTGAAACAAGAAGGTCTTCTTATCAGCCAGAATCCACTGCAGTTTAGAAGAGCTCATTTCTGTAATTTGGAAGCATCTCATATGAGAAACACAGCTACTACATCCACTGGACTCCAGCTGGACAGAAATGTTTCAAAGTAAAAAACAATGTTATCCCCACCCAAAAAAGTAAAAATCTTCTGTTTGTCTTTTCCATCAATCAAACAAAAACTTGTCTGGCTAAAGCTGTTCTCCTAATCTGTGAAAATTTAAGCTAGAGTGATGTTTTGCAGAGAAATCTGGGCTTTACTATGCCTGTGCAGAAATAGTCTGGCCAGGGGGGTGGTAAAGCCTGTTGTGGTACATGCTTTACCAGGTGTCTACAGGCTGCATACATTCCTCTCTTAAAAGAAAAAAAGAACTCTGCTACTCTGCTAAAAAATGGGGATTTGGCAAATATAATAGTGATTCCAGAATATTTTTAGAATGAATTTTAATTGGATTATATCTCATCTTGTTAATGTACCACTCCTTTAACTACTAATTTTTGTTGTCATTGTTTCCTTTATTTTAAAAGGCTTTACAGATCAATGAGTTGACTGGTCTGAACTTTTCTGGCAGCAGTAACAGCACAGTTTCAAGCAGTGACAGTAGATATCAAAAGACAGGCCTGATGTAAGTATTTTGGTACACTGAAATGAAGTAACTTTAGAAGTCCTAGAACATCAGTCTGAGTATCAGAGATACTCACTGATGACCAGAGAATCTGTGAGTTTTTACATGGAAAAGGAACCTTTGACTGGGTTTTTGCATTCTGACTGCATGGAACATTCTGCTTGTTGTCATATTTAGTATTTATAACCCTAGAAATATCTGGAATTATGCTTCTTACTTTTCTTTAAATTGTATTTAGTGAGAGCTATGCACACACACACACAGTTGTACAGCCTCACAAAATCCTTTTCAGCTTCCTATGTGAAACTGGAGCTACAAGAAAAGCAAGTTTACAAATGGAAAATTAACCACTGACATTTAGCTGGTGTTTTCCTGGCCTACTACACACATGCAACCACACTGCAACTTCTAGACATCTTCCTAAATCCTGCTGACTGGTTTATAAAATGACTAAGTTTATCAATGTGTGTGTATTTATCTGTAGGGCATGCACTGGAGAGGAGTATCTGAAGAGTCAAGGTATCGATGCGAGCTCCTGGGGCCTGTGGCAAAACCATCTGGCTCTGGCCTGCATGACACTAATCTTCCTTACCATTGCCTACCTCAAACTGTGCTTCATGAAGAAGTTCTCTTAAAACCAGAGGGAAAGATGCAATTCCCACTGTTCAGTAGTTTGCAACTGTAGTAGTTGTGCAACTGACTTGATTACTTTTAAAGAGACCTTTCTTTTACTTTTATTATTACCCAAGCCAATGACATGAATGGCATCCTTGTATATTAAATATGTTATAAATTCATATTATAATATTGGCTTTTCACAATTATTGAGATGAATGTTATATGTATAATGTTAAAATGGCTTTGCTGTGTGAATGTGTTTTTTTCTTCTCCTGCTATTAGCAAAAAATTAAGGCATAAGTGGTAATAGTTGATATAGCATCCTTGAACTGCCTGCCAGTTAGGATGAACTCCAGTGAACAGATGATGGGGACCTGGCTACTATCAACACTCACCTCCTGTGGAAAGAAGGAGCCAAAGCCCAAATTAAAAGATGCCAAGAAGAGGATTAAAACCGCAAGCCAAGAAACGTGCATGCTCTAAAAAGGCAGATCCAAGGAGTGGCCATGCTAAATAGTTCCTGGAAGATGTAAACTAGTTAATGGAAAAGTTTGAATATGTATAAAGACTATGAATATGTGTTGTAGTTAGTTTATTTAATTTTGTTAAAGGTTCGTTAAAGCTTGTTGGTATGTTCTTGTTTCCCCCTACTGATTGTATTGGTTTGGCCCCAGTTGTCAGTTATGTAAACCCCTCCTATTTTTCCGGAATGTTCCCTGCCAGTCACCTTAGCCCTGCCCCTACTCCCTATCCATCATTGTAAACCCCACCCCTTCTTCCAGACTCTTATGTGTCAATCATTTTTCCCTTGAGACTCCACTGGTTAATGTATCTTGCTCCCTCCCTCTGTGTATCCCTATTGGCCCTGAATTTGAGATCCCTGCCCCTTACTCCTCCCCTCAAGATTCCCCATTGGTCCATGGTTTGTACCCTCCGCTGGAGATTGGGCTGCACTTAACTCCTTGCATGGCGCTGCTCGAGGCTCTCTCGGACCTGATTCTTTCCGGCATGGATCCCTCATTTTCCCATACCTAATAAAACCATTGCTGGGAACTTCAATTCGAGAGAGACTCCTCTACTTTCTTGCCTCCACTCCTGACACCGTGCACCACAGAGCTTGGGGTGGCCCAAGACTTTGGAGGTTTTGCTGAGGGAAAAGCCTTCTCCCCGGTGATTCCCCAGTCTTGGCACTCACCTGCGCCAGAGTGCAAAGACCACCGTAGAGCTAGCTAGATCTCCGGTGCAGTGCCGCGTCAAATCAAGGTGATGCAATAGAAATGGAATATAAAGGGTGTTCCTGAAACACCAGGAGTGCTCTTGTCAGAGCGCCAAGCATCCAGCTGTTAATCTTTGCTTTATTATCTCTATCTCTTACTGTCTTTATTACACTTTTAAAATTTGCCAGGAGAGTGAACCTCGTTTTTCACAAATACTGATAATTCACTCTTCCAAAACGTCTAGCACAGCTCACTACTCTTTGCCACAAAAGCGTACAGCTATTCATTTCTTCAGAAGACTATTCAGTCTTTCTGCATGTTCTAGCTATGAAATTGTCAAACACTGTATCTAATGTTTAGTGGCTTAACCTGAAAAAAATAGTGGTTCTGTATATTAATTAGCACCTACCTTCACCAGGAAGCAATTCAGTCCAAAGTGATGCTTATCAGGACACCAACAGTCTCAGTTGCATACATGGTCACAGGATATGTGAGACAGGGACAAAATCCCTTCCATCCCAGTGTCCTTTTCTATTTGGGAATTGTGAAATACAAGGTTCAGTCTCCTGGTAAAATTTGGAAGTTTAATAAAGGACAATAGGAGACAAAAATAATAAGACAAAGTTTAGCCGCCGGGTGCTTGGCATTCAGTCAAGAGTACACCTGCTATTTTAGAGACACTCTTTATATACCTTTTCTATTGCATCAGCCTATTGCATATTCATAAAAATTATACATATTTAAACTTTTCTCCAAACTAGTTTACATGTTCCAAGAATTGTTCTTGGATGGCATGGCTCCTCCTCAGGACTACCTTTTTAAAGCATGCACACTTTTTGGCTGTGGTTTTAGTCCATTCTTATTATCTTCTCCAGCTTGAGTTCTGGTCCATACTTTCTTCTGATAGTAGGTGCTGATAGTTGGCATATCAGTAGCAGGATCTTCATCATACATTCGTTGGATGTTATCCAAGCAGGCTGTTCAGTTACCACAAGCATAACTATATCAGCTATTTCACTACTATGTCTAAGCAAAAGTACAAACTATATCTTTATAGGAAAGTTACTTTACACACATAGCATCCATTACTTTATATATATAGCATCCATTTTAATATTTATGAAAAGCCAATGTTATGTATTTATAACAGGAATCATTACTGCTCTAGAATGTATTGATGCCATCAAGCCTTTCTTGCCTCACTCAAGTGGTAGAAGCACTGTTTTTTTAAATAAAGGTGTTTCTTAGAGTGACAGTTCCTATAATCCTTGTCTTGAAGTTTGTATTTCCTCTGCATAACTGCAAGTCATCTTCACTGTCCCACTAGAGCTGCTATCATGAGTAGTTCTTAGTCATTTTTATGGTGTCCAATTTCAAGTGCATGACTGAACAAGATGGTAGCACCTTTGTAAGAGTCCACATACTGCAGCAACCCCTTCCTGCCAGGCCAACTTTTCCCTGGCCATGTGCAGCAGTACTAGCTCATTTCCTTCTGTCTTGGTTTGGAAGACAGGTGTCTGGTAGGGAAGGCAGGAGCCTCCTTTGGAATGAAAAATGTAGACTCCCTCCCTCCAAATTACTATAATTTTGAAATCAAGAGGATTTCAGGCAGAGATCTGGGGACAGGAATAAGAGTTCTTTACTAGTATGTATAACAAGGCAAACAAACAACAATAACTACAGCATTAACAGCAAAACAGAACCAGGGACCCCTCTATATACCGTTTCTATTGCATCAGTCTGTTGCATATTCATAAGCAATTATGCATAGTCAGACTTTTCTAAGAGCTGTTTTGCATGGCCACTCCTTGGGTCTGCCTTTTTAGAGGATGTGTCTATCTTCATTATCACCTTCAGTTTAGGCCTTGGTCTTTTCTGTCCACAGATACTAGGTGGTGGTAATTGGCATGTCATCAGCAGGGTCCCCATCATATGTTCACTGGATGTTATCTCAGACAAGCAGACAGCTCAAGCATGACTATCAGCTATTCCACTACTATGCCTAAGTTTAGTTAAAATAAAAACTATAGCAAAACCACTTTAATGATATATATATATATGACATCCATTCCAATATTTTGTGAAAAGACAGTATTATAGTATGTATTTATAACAAGGCTGAACAGACCAAGTGACCTCAGCCACTCCTCACATGCTTCCCCTCCAGACCCTCCACCTTCTCAAGGCCTTTCTGCCTTCGCTTATAACGCCACTCCTTGAGAATGGTTGTAATTCTGTCTATTAGGCAGCTCTCATATGTTGTAAATGTAACATCTTCATACATATGACATTAGGATTTATGTTGATCTGATCACTAATTATTGTATTGCTTTGTTGGTAAGATATCATGTTGCTGGGGAAAATTAAAGCATCAGAGCACAAAAAATTGTCTCAGAGTGTTCTGTACCTTTAGCTTAGCCCTTTTTAAGCAGAAGGAAACACTGAGGAGATAACAGCTATGTGGTTATTCTAAAAAAATTGACAGGAACTCCAGGTCCTGGTACTACAAAGAAATGAAAGTAGAATTTTTGCCCTTGGAAAAAAAAAATCATGCCAGATTTTAAAATGTAGACATCTACAGCCCATCTAATTGCAGCTAGTCCTTATAATTTCAACAAGTTATAATCGTGATCATAGACTGTGTTCCAGTCATAAAAGAAAATAATTTCAGTATACAGCAGTGGTTTCTGAAAAAGAAAATAGTCAAACTAAGTTGAATTACTCCCATTTTGAACAGGCTTTGACACCATATTGCACAGATAATATTTACTACAAAACTCTGAAATTTTCTTGCTTCTTATTTCAGCAGCTGGTCATCTATAAGAATGTATTTACATAAAAGAAATGTTTCTTCCAGTACTGTCCAACACTTAACTCTGTACACTCATAAAATTCTATACCTCAGTTGCATGAGCAAAAATTACAGTAGTAGTCACACCAGACTTCTCTGTCACAACATAGGCTTTAAATTAAAATTTTGTTTTTCTCTTTTTGTCCAACACTGCACTTCATGTGTTCTAGTGAAAGGTACCACTGCCCATGGCAGGTGATTTTTAAGGTCCCTTCTAACTCAAAAATTATATTATTCTATGATATACCTGGTTCTCCCCTGTAGTTTGGGGCAGATCAGTACAACTACATTGCTTGCACAAGCCAGGAGACATATCATCTCTACAATAACTCTAACGTACTTTTACAAGCAGTGTAAGCAGGGGGGGAAAAGATTATTTGAAGGGAAATGAGTCCAGAATCCCTGAGGTTCAAAAGGCTTTGAGTACGTGTGTGTGCCTGTATGTTGATACTATGGAGATCCTTAATAATTGCTTTGTAAAAGCCTGACCTTGTGACAAGAATTAGGCTCTCAAGAACCTCCTTCATAGCCCAAGGTTAATGGTCCTGACTTGTTTCTCACAATCTTTTTCATCTCCCACCCTCATTAGGGGTGGATTTGTCCAGCATTCTTTTAGGGGTACATGGCTCATTAAGCCTTTTCTTCATTAATCTGTTCCAAAATGGTCTTGAAATGATCCCTGCCTTCCACCACAACTGGTTTAGGAGCTGAATTATCCCTGACATTTGCTCCTTTCAGCAGATCTTAGTAAGAGTGTACCAGGATCAAGTAGTTTAAGGGTGTTAAGACTCATGCATTGCTTGGGCTTAAAAATGACAGAACTGCCTGATACCATTGTTTTCCTGAGCTTTTTGTCATTTTGAGCATTTAGCAGTTAAAAAGTGTAATGTACAGAATTTAATGAAAATTCCTCTTTAGTTTGATTACACTTTGACAGCATGTGATTTAA